AAATGTTTCATTTCCTTTAATTGATGAACCTTTCTCTGCTGGCCAATCTCGGTGACTAGTTTTGCTCTTCATTTTCAAGTGTTTATTATTTACTTACTTTGAATAATTTGAGCCCATAATTGTGAGGTGAGAATCAAAAAGTAAGATGATAAAAGCTGAGAATAAATCAGCAGAAATTGTTGAATAGAATCAGTGAGCAATGAATAATTTCTCTAATATTATTAACTGAATATGCATTGACTGATGAATTTTTCAATTATTTTCAATCTATCGCAAAGCTTGAATTTCAGGGGAAAAATGAAGCAATTGCTATAATTATTTTCAAAGTTTCAAATTCGAATCACATCATCATTTGATATGACGAAAAAAAGTAATTTTGTAATGAAAAATTCTCGTTGAATTTGGCTTAATCTCATGTTACATCCAGTGCATTCACAGAAGGATTACCTTGCATTGATTACAAATCAAGTGTCACTTTTGAAGTTTAATGTTTATTTATCAAAATGTTTCCATTGTTAATTTAATTTGTACTCGATAATCTGGCAACATAAAAAAGCATTTCTATCCGATTACTTTATTACTTTTCATTATTCTGTTTTTATCCTTTTAAATCAAAATCCTCAGTCAATCGATGATATCAGTCAATGTCAACTCTTTTGTCATCCCTTGTTATCTGCCAACTGGAAATGGTTAAACTCAATTATCGCTCAATTATGGTAAGCAAGTGATGACGAGAAACGAAATGAGGAGAAAATCAATTGAAAAGGAGAAAAAAATGTAGCACAAAAATGGCTTTCCATAATGAATCGACGTTTCTTGAAGTTTAGAACAGATTATTTCAATAATTTATGAATTTTTGTCTCATAATATTTTCCATCATTCTTCCACGAAATTCATTGACCTTTCAATAATCTCTTCTCAAAACTATTGTCTCTCTTTTACAGTGCTGATGGCAACTTTGAACCAACCCTGATAACCAAAGCTTTAGTTCATTATACCGGTGAAGTTGTCTGGGAACCTCCAGCTCTTTATAAAGTTACCTGTCAAATTGATGTTGAATGGTTTCCATTTGATGTTCAATCATGCCTTATGAAATTTGGCTCTTGGACTTATGATGGTCATGAGGTAGGCACAAGATTTAATTCATAATATCAACTTTAATCAAAGAACGTTCGAAATTGTGTGATATTTTCCTGTAAAATAAAAGTTTAAGTTGAGATGCTTTTAGAGTTAAAAGTTGTACAAAACAAAGTTACAAGTATTGAATATTTATCGAAACGCATTCGAGTCTCGAAGTCATAAAACTTCGTTGAAAAATGAATTTTCTGATAACCAGACTCTTTGTGAAAAACTATTGAAGTTATTTTGTTTTTTTTCTGATCATTTTTTGATTAGCTATTTCTATTCGAGAATATTTTGTTTAGACTTTCTAATCCTATACCTAAATGAAAATATAATAATTGCTTGATATTGAAAATGGGTAACCTAATCTGTTGGAGGTTGCAAAATCTTGTGGTAGCAAGAATTTTCGAGAGCAGAACAGAGGTTTCGTTTTAACGAGATTAACTCAAGTTTACTCAAGTTTCCGCCATTATGGCTGCCTCTAAAAAGCAAAAGGTTTTCAAAATGATTTACTCAACATTGACATGAATTAGCGTAAAGATTCACCTTGATTCAATATTGAAAAGAGATAAACAGTGTTGAACTTTTCTTCTAACCTTTTTGTCTGTTGCTGTTTGTTTCAATTTTGAACTGTTCTGATACATGGAAAGTATAGCAGAGAAGATAATTCAGATCAATGTTTTGACATGAAAATGAATTTAAAAGTGAAACCAAAGAATTGACAGGAAGAAAAAAAGTTGAAAACAAACTATGAAAAATGAATTGCACCATAAGCAAAGATTTTTGGTTTACTTTTGACGAATAACTTTTTTCTCCAAAAGAGTTGACTGAAAAAGTTTGAATTCATTTTGACGGTGAATATGTATGACAATTGGCAACAATAAATGAAATATTATATTGAACTCGAATGATTTGACTTCTAGGAGAGTAAAAAAAGGTTTACTTTGCAGTTTGATGCAACGTCAAAAGTGACAGAGGCAATAAGACAATGAGTGAATGAACAAGTTTCTAGGTGAGATGGGAAACAAAAGTTTTGTCTTTTCAAGTGTGTGGTTTTAAAAGTGAAATGTAATTGCAGTTGAAAGAGCAGCAAAAGCGACAAAAGTATGAAAACAAAAGGTATTACAATTGTGATCCAATGATTAATGTGCATAAAGAGCAAGGATTTGAAAGATTGTCCAAGTTGTCAATGTTCAGCATAAAAATGAACGAAAAAATTTGTACATTTTCGACTAACATCAAACTTTAGATGGCCAACTTTAGGTGATGGTTAGTCTCGATGTGAATAAGAAATTGAATTTCCAAAGTTGAAGTTAAACTAACTAACTTCGTGTTATAAAGGCTTTTCTCAGCGTCGACTTCATTTTTATTTTTCACCCGTCAAAATTCAATTCCATCTCATATTGAAAAGCTTCGTCTGAACGCAACAGAAATCTTTTCATGTTTTGAAAATTCTACCCGGCTTTTTGCCTCATCTACTTGAAAAATTAAATTTCAACATAAACTCAAACTTTTCTAGAAATTTTTTTTTTTCATTCTGCCCTTACATAATGGATTCAATTTGCTCAATTTACGCGATACTTTTTAATTATGAAGTTATTATCAGCTTGAAGTTTGAAATTTCATTCAATTTTCTTTAATTTTTAAAGATTTAATTTAACAATAGATACCTCACAATCAAATAGATAACATGCTGAATTAGGAAGAAGTTGCTGCGTTTCAGATACTTATATTAGCATTGCATCGTTCAAAGCATTTACATTCAGTAGAAGTCCTACGGAGGTTCCTTCACTTGTGTCTGTTGCGTCTACAGACAATCCGACTACGTTTTTCTGAATATCCTCAGCAGCTTTGGCCATTTGTAAACCTGTTAAAGTAGAGAGAGAGGTGAAAAGAGAAAGATAACAGGACAGAAGAGAGAAGAAGGAGAGAAATGAGAAAGAAGAAGAAAGATAAAAACAATTCAATTGCATCTTGACTACTTTCAGAATATGAATAGTTTTAAGCAAATCGCAAAACAGATATTATAAAAATAAGAGCAAAACTGCAAAACATACTGTTTTTGGTATCTTTGCACACGAATCTTTTTATACTTGACTTTTATTAGCACAATATCTTAGTTCAACTCACTCATTTGAATACAAGAAAATTGACCTTAATTAAAATTGAAGGTTATATTGAAAAACCTGTATTGAAACAGTCATGGCTAAATTAAATATTCATCGAAAATTTCTGTTTTTCAACAGCAATTGTTCAATCATGAAATAGAGAAACATTGAAAGTGAATGCAATGAAAATACAAGCTTGTAGTTGTAATGTAATCAAATCTATTGACACTAGTTGCTCTTTCTCTAGTAAAATTAAATTGTGTTTTAATTCCAGTTGAACTTTTTTCGCGCTACGCAGCCTGCGAGCTTTACTCAGGTCTGTGTGAATTCGCGACCAGTGTCCTTTGTCTTAACTCAACAGAACTCTTACTTTGGACAATTTTAGTCACTTTTTTGTCCTTCTTGAGAAATTCAATTTCGATAGAAACTTGAACTTTTTTTAGTTGAATTCTTTTCTTTCATTTCCCCCTTAATGTTGGATTCAATTGATAATTTAATTTGCTCAATTTACTTGACACTTTTTAATTATGGCAAGAATGATAAAATGTCTAATTATACAATGCAAGAAAAGTGGGAAATTGTTTTCCATTGAAAAATTGGAACAAAAAGTATAAATGAAAAAAAGATGGCAAAAAAGAGTTTCAAACTGAAGAATTAAGAAAAAGGAGAAAAAAGTTCATTTCAATTGACATTTTTCTCTACCTCCTGCATAATGTTGCACATTGAACATTTCATTTAGTGCAAGCTTGATTACACATGATTAACTTTGCTCCTCACCTAAAGAGAAATATTAATTTTCTCAGATTTTCTCTCTTTCCTTATTCCATTTAAACCTTTAATTTATCTTCAGAAGGGAAAGAAAAATGTTTCTACAATAAACATTTTCTTTCTGATTTCAATTTCCAAAGCTCATTCTATATTATTAACTTGTTTCACTTCAACTCAATCGTCTTCAAGTGTTCATATGTAGATAATAAAAGTACACAAAGTAATATCGAACAACTGGTATCATTGAAATTTGATACAATTGAATCAATTAAATTTCCAAATTAGTCCAACTTCTTTTCACTATTTTTCTGCAAAATGAAATTATTTCCCATTCAAGAGTTTCTTTTGAAAAAGATGATCAAACGACTTGAAATTTTACTTGTTCAAGTTGACAAGGAAACGTTTGAAATTCATTTCATTTCCAAATTTAAACTCAATGAAACTTTGATTGCAATTTTTGGCTTTTGGTTTCATATTCCTTACGCTTGTTGAGATTATTTTTCATTTATCGAAAAAATCGAAAGTTAAATTTATTCAGAAAATTTTGTCAGTTTTCACAGAGTTTTTACTTTCATGGAAAAGAGTATTTTGGAAGTTGAAATTGATTCAAAGTGTAATTTGATTAAAGTTGAAAATTTGCTTTTCTTTACATTTTTACTTTTAAAGGAAATAAAAGTTGAAACTTTTGTCTTTTCCATCAAATCTTGTCAATAGGTTGACCTTCGTCATCTGGATCAGGTTGAAGGATCGGTCCAAGTTGACCGTGGTGTGGACCTTTCCGAGTTTTACCAATCAGTGGAATGGGATCTGATGAAAGTCCCTGCTCGCTATGAGAATGAATATTATGATTGTTGCC